GTAGGCGAGCTCCTAGACGTTGTAGTCTGTACCCGGGTGGATAATGGAGAACGCCCTCTTCATCCGGTTTTCGCAGTCCTGCTCATTCTCCTCAATGAGCCGGCTCTGATTAGCTTCAAGAGTGGCCTGGAAGTTGCTCTGTGCAGAAGCCGCCTCTTTGACCAGGCGGTCATTTTCCTTTTGCAGGCGGACATTGTTCTCCTCCGCCTGGTCCAGCCGCTTGAGGGGCTCCTCATGCTTCTTGAGCTCATCCTCAGCATTGTCCAGGACCGCCTGAAGATTGTCCACTTTGAGCTTGGACTCTTTGAGGGCCTGTTGGAGGGTCTTGACCTGATCCGCCTGTCGCATGATTATAGATTTAGTTTCTAAGTCATGCACAATCATTGAATAGTGGGCAACGCTATGTGCGTCATCCACAAAACGTTTGGCTCTTCTTACCTCCTCTTGCTTGCGGATGTAGGCCTTCTTGAGCTCCTCCACGCGGAGTAGTGCCTGCAACAACACAGCCGGTATTAGTAGAAAAACCGGATGAGCATACTACAAATAAAATGCCGGATGGGTCCTCATCAACTTACATCGGCCAGGTCGACCATTACACGGTCGGCATTGAAGGTATTGATTCCAGGAATCGCCTCCTTCTCGTCCCGGGAGACGGCTTTCAGCATGGCCCGGGCGTACTGAGCAGCATCCGGCCAGCGTGGAGAATTATCTGCACCAGAAACAGACGGTGAGTAAGCTACATATGCTCCGCCTACGGACAGTCGGCTGATCGGAGAATCTCCCGGCTGAGACTGAGAATATGACTTAACCCGCATGGGTAGGTCAAGCAGCGTGAGGTTGAAAGGGTTTGTACCTTGTTAGGAAGCTCTCTGGCCCCCGGCAGAAGATGGACCGGTTGTGGTCCTTATTGGGGTGACCTCTTTCGAGGCCGTTTTAGCATTAGACCCGCCTAGGGTCTTTATTGATTTACCGCCGGTAGTAGTCCGGGCGGTGGAAGCGGTTTTCTGCATCTTATGTGCATGTTCCTCAACAGACGGTCGTTGCCGAATCTGTTTTTGCAGAGAGCGAGGGATATTGCTCCCATCCTGAAACAAAGTCACAAACGGTCAAGTGAAGAAATAGCCAAAATAGAACCAAGACAAACAAATAAAAAAGGTCAGGCGGTCTAACCTTTTTAGCCGCCTAAGCGGCAAGCTTCTTCTCCAGATTCTCCTTTCGGATATCTGAAGCTTTCTTGGCGGGTGTCTTGGCGGTGGGAAACATGTTTTTTGCTTCTTCTGCAAAACGCAAATACATCCGGTCAAGATCATGATAATAACACGCATTGCAATCAAAAGAAAAGTGTTAGCCGGCATAAAATTAATCGGCTGAGACTCGTAATCTACGTCTTTCAAACATGCTGCTAAGCCCACAGGCGGACAAGAAGCACTCGTCCTTAAAGAATTCATGTTTAGGCACCCAGTTTTTGGGCACCCTTATTATCTCTCCGGTTGAGAGAGTGGAAGAGGTTAGTTCAAAAAATCCGGAGTCCAATATGGCCTCCCTGTCATTATCCGGCATTGGGGGCAGCCGGCACTTCTGCCCCAAAAGCTCTGGCTTCCAGTTGTAGGTCCGGAACTCCCTATTCTCCTCTTTAGTAGGGGCTTTGACCAGGTAAAACCGGTTCTTCCAGTCTGACCATTTAGACGGCTTATCCAGTGTCATCATGTATTGGGGATAAGTCGTCAAGGTGTACCAGGCTCTCCAGCCGCCTGGGCTCCTACTTAAATAATGCATATGGGCAAACGCCTCCCAGCCGGGGTTGAGATCCTGCATCTCACAGGCGACGATATACCCGAGAATGTTTACCCAAGAATTAGGGGTGAGTTGCCAGACGCCTAGGCCATATCCCCCAAGTATGGCCTTTATCGTGTTATGAAGGGGGAAGCGGACCCCGGCTAGGAAAGCCGCTTCATAGAGCCCAAACCAGCTGTCTGCGTTGGGTTGGTCGTCCTCCCATACAACCGTTCCATACTCCCCCGGTACGGACAGCTTGTAACCCTCTCCAAGCGGCCGCTTGGTGATAAAGTCTGTTAGAGAAGACCGCATGAGGGCCCTATCTTTAAGAGACACGACAATCATGAAAGGGTCGTTGCTACTTTGCCACGAAGGCCTCTCCGCCTCCTTGCTATCTTCTGACTCGGTCAAGTAGCTAGTGCTACTGCTTTCGATGCGACCAGCATCAAAGCCGGATGGGGAGTTGGGATCCTCGTTGACGGATCCTGACAGCTCAGCCTCCTGAGCAGGGGAAGACTCCTCGTTGTAGGAGCCTAGGATGCTATCGCTTGGGGTGGCGGGAATTCCACCGGATGGTTCTCTAGCCGCCTCGTCCGGGGCTTGTCTCTCAGGCGACAACTCATTTGAGTCCCCGCCTCTGTAATTGGGGTCCATAGTTGTTCCCCTAATTCTGGCCATCGTGTCCTGCACAGACACGGAGTCGGTCGATACAGGCGTTGAAAAGGGGAAATTCCAAAGATCAGAGGCGGCAGATCCAGTTCTAGACTCAGCCGTACTAGTTGACCGGCTGAGTTCACAACTATGTTCCGGGTATGGGTATAAAGGGTCCATCTACCTATGGGACTAATAAATAAAAACACAAGCAAAAGACGCAAACGGAAATACATGGAAAAGCGAGAAGGAATAGAGACGGTACCTAGAGGAACGGAGAATTTGCTGAAACCTCAAGAAATTTCTTGGGGATGCTTGCAAAGACACAGACGGTCTGAAAACCGGCTGAGTTCTCTTGGGTACCCTCACAAAAAACCTTTGCTTACTCGCTACCTTACAGGCGGTCTGAAAACCGGCTGCTCACAACTATCAGATTTCCGTCTGCTCTCAACTCTCAAATACCGGATGCTCTCAAAATTCAAGAAAATTCGCGAAGTTTGTAAATGAGCTCTCGAGGGTGTCTCCTCCTATTTATAGGGGTTTGCCTCAGGAGGCAAAGGGTCGTGACCTTTCCCCTTCTGCTCTTCCCTCCTCTTCCTTCAGTTAGAATCTGAAGAGGTTTAAAAAAAAAATCAAAAAAAAAAAAAAATTTCTTCTCAGGCACCACGTGGCACCTTGCCACGTCAGCACCCGAGAGGGGCAAATGTTTGGGGGTAAAAATACCTCATCCACGTGGCTACGCGACACCCAGACATTGGTCAGCAGGGCTCCAATCCCCTGCTGACACGTGTCCAACCACGTGGCCCTATGGCTAAGCGACACGTGGCACCCAACCATTGGTCAGCAGGGCTCCAATCCCCTGCTGACACGTGTCCCATGAACCCTAAATGGGGAACCAAGGCTCCCCACTATAAATAGTGGGGAGATCCTCATTAATGGGCATTCATTCAATTCCATTGAATTCAATACAAGATATTCAATACACCCTTAACTACTTACACCAAACCCGAGCAATATTAATTGCGGAATTATCCCATTACGTGAGAAGTAATTTCACTATTTACGCACTCTTTTCCTCCTGTACGTAACTGACTTGATCGTCGGAGGCGGAGCTCCAACCAACCGAAGACTTCGTGTTTTTGCAGGTACAGGCGGTGAAGGGCATTCTCGGAATTGCAACTCTCCCGCAGGACGCATCAAAAAACCCCGAAACAATAATAATAATAATAATAATAATAATAATAATAATAATAATAATAATAATAATAATAATAATAATAATAATAATAATAATAAAATCTGCTCTGCCCTGCTCGATCTGCTCTGCTCTGCTCTACCTAGAAGCTCAAAAGAACAGGGCCTTCTTCCCGTAAAATAAGGCTACATTTAGTTCGCCTTATTTAAGCACGTTAATGCTTATTTCAAATTAGATCTGCAAGAAAAAAACATAAGGGTGTGTCCAATTCATCTGATTATTACTTATCTTAACTTATTTTAGTTGTATTTAAACCTGAATAATCGTTATCAGAACTTTTTTTTTTTAAGTGAAAATAAGGCAAACAGAACACAACCTAAGTCAAGATCGTACTTTATCGTTTTAGGCTCATTTTTTTTATTGCTAATTAAACTAGTGTGTGGTCTGATGCTCCACATCATTACCATAATTATCATATAGCAATATTTAAGTTTCTATATACGTAGTGAAAAATAAATATTATTAAACAATGAAGAACTAATAGAAAAAAAATTACAAAATAAACACCCCAATCAAAGTTAGATATAATTAAAAGCGTTAAATATAAAAGTATAACTAAAAGTTGGCTAAGATAGTTAAAGTTTCAACTTAATTATTGTTGGCCATGAGTTCAAACACTATAAAGATGGAAAATCACTACTTGCGTCAAGTTTGAAGCGTTGGAGTGTGAGCTATGCAAATTAGTTATGATTTTGATTGTAAAAGTTATGTTATTTCTTTAAATCCGTGGTTTATAAATCTTTATTATTATTGTAGATAATGTATGACTATTCATTAATGATATTTTTTTCTTCCCGTAAAAAAAAAAAAAGCCAAATTAGACAATCAAATTAAATGAAAAATGCTACATACGAGTATAAGTTTAGATTAGATGAAAATAAATAAGTTCATATCAGATCATAAAACTCAAAACTAAATTGAACTAAATTTAGCCTAACTCGAAAGTCGAAACAACTAATTACACAACCTTATCACCAATCTCACATTCCCACTTACCTTCCTTTGGCAAAGTTGGCTTGTGCACATTGGTTTGTGCAAATCCACAACAAAGTAGTAGTCTCTATGTTCCTTATTAATTGACATTGTTAAACGTGACTCACATGTCAATGCTTAAGTTTGACCTTCAATTTATATGATTAAATTTTAATAAAAAATATTAAAAAGTTGATAGTATAGAATTTTATACTACGTATTAATATCTATTTAACAATACATTTTATGAAAAATTTGTTTTCATTACGTACTTAAAAATATGGTCAAAGTTCGTATAAAGTCAAACGTGCCAATTAATTAGGAGTGAAGAAAGCATTCAATTTCTAATTTCACACCACAATACATCCTTTGAGACATGGGTGTACACTCGACCGCCAGCCCCGGAAAACAACCGTAACCGGCTTACCAGTAACCGGACTCGGAAATCATCCCCGGCAAACCGGACCCAAACAATTTGCTTTGGTACAACAAGTAACAAAAACAAACATGTCAAGCAATCAGTAGAGAGAGAAAACTTTTAAAATCCCAATTACCCTTCCAAATCTAATATTTCTGCTATCCAAAATCTACTGAGTCTTTTTTCTTTTCTTCTTCGTCCCTTTGGGCTGCAGCAATGGGGTCCAAGGAGTGGCAGGGGAAGGAAAATTCGAGCGACAGAAAAGGGCAAAAACGGAAATTAGACCAACAACAAGAAGAGAGAGAATCCGCCATTGTTACAGGTGAAGCTCTTCGTCGAGAGGTTTCAGCTCAGGTTGAGATTTTAAGCAACACCTATTCGTGGACTGAAGCCGATAGAGCCGCCGCTAAGCGTGCTACTCATCTTCTTGCAGAATTGGCGAAAAATGGTATGATTTTAACCTTGTTTGTTGAATAATTTGGGTTGAATTTGGGATTTTGTAGTAAATTAGGGGTTTTGATTTGTATGATCGATTGATTAGTGAAGTTTGTTGAATTTTTGTGGTTGTTGTAATAGAGGATGTCGCGAGTATAATTGTGGAAGGTGGAGCTGTTCCTTTATTGGTGAAGCATCTTCAGGCGCCGCCGTCGCCGGTTGAAGATGATGGGCTGAAGCCGTATGAGCATGAGGTTGAGAAAGCTAGTGCTTTTGCTCTTGGGCTTCTTGCTGTGAAGGTCAGTTCAGGTTTTTAATTTTAATTTCGATTTCGAATTTAATGAATGTTTGTTGTGAATTGCCAAATTGTAGCAATATTGATTTGTTATGAAGTGTACATGATACAATATTGTAAGTTATTAGGAGGTTTTTATGCATGACTTGAAAGAATTGATTATGTATTTATTTAATGCATGACTTGAAGGTCAGTGATTTTAAATTTTATTTACAATTTCGAATTTGGTGAATGTTTGTTGTGAATTGCCAAATTATAGCAATATTGATTTTCTATTTACTGGGTAGTGTACATAATGCAATATTGTAACTGTTAGAGATTTTAATGCATGACTTGAAAGAGTTGTTATGAAATTTTATTTTATGTATCTGTTTTGTGATGATTGAAAGGGGTAGACAAGCTAGTGTTTTGCTGTTGCCAAGGTTTGTCTATAATGGAAGTACTATAATGGATTTGTTCAATACCAAGTTAGTTGCGTTGTTTTTATGTTAAACAATTAGAACGATGCAGATTTACTACCTGTGCTTTTTGGTGAGGTATAGATGTTCAATATGCAAAGAGGTGGTAAGGTATATATAGCTGATAGTTCTTAGCAAGAGATGTTGGTGAACCATTTTAAGGATATTTGTAGGAGGAAACAAGTATTTGCTGTTGATTCTGACATATCATCTAAAGAAGGATTTGATTATCTTATTTTATTCTAGTATTCCACACTTTTGCTATGTGTACATTGGTTAACTTGCATGTGGACTAAAAAGTTCACGCAGGAGTGGCAATATTGATGTGAAATCAGTTGGCGACTCAAGATGTTTGCATCCAATTGAAGATCTAAATTTCATGAGATATTCTGCCTTGGTTTGGCGGATATTGATTCGACATGGTGCTATGTTACATCTGTAGCATCTCTTCTAGCAATATATGTGTGGGCTGGTGTGTAACTTATAGTATATATGTGTGGTTACTATTGTGTGACTTTTATGGCACCTCATATGAAGTACCTCATACTCTTGAATATTAAACTGCCTATCCATCTAGTTTTGCAGTCGATTGGTTGGAAGTGGTATGTTGTTTTGTTTATGCTTACAAAGCCTTGCTTATGTTTGTCACCCTTTGTATGATTCTGCTTGCAGCCAGAGCATCAACAATGCATTGTTGATGCTGGTGTCTTACCTCTCCTCGTAGATCTTTTGAAGAGGCACAAATGTGGCTTGAATTCTCGGGCTATTAATGGTGTCATTCGGAGAGCGGCTGATGCAATTACTAACCTTGCTCATGAGAATAGCAGCATCAAAACCTCTGTCAGGTTGGTTCAGATTAATTTTGCTGTATCTGAACTAGATAGTTGTTCAGTTTTTCTTGCTTGACTTTGGTTCCTGGATTTTATTCAGGACGGAAGGTGGTATTCCACCCCTAGTTGAACTACTTGAATTTAGTGATGCAAAGGTACAGAGGGCAGTGGCTGGGGCACTGCGCACTCTGGCTTTTAAAAATGATGAAAATAAGAAGCAGGTGATAGACCTTTCTGAAGCCAGCTTATCAGTTTATGTGTACTGTCCTTAATAACAATTCTTCAAGTTATTTAAGGGTTAACAGTTTAAATTTATGACCATACAGATTGTTGAATGTAATGCTCTTCCTTCTTTGATTCTGATGCTTAGATCTGAGGATTCTGCTATACATTATGAAGCGGTAATCTTTACTAAAGTTCATTTCAATGTAGTAGGATTTTAATGTGATGGGGGTGTCGAAGCCCCTATTTCCCTTAGTTTTAATTGACATAGATGAAGTTTCTTGCACATATGTATATCATGCAGTCTGTTTTTAATATTTTTCAGGTCGGTGTGCTTGGAAATTTGGTTCATTCGTCGCCCAACATAAAAAAAGATGTCCTGCATGCTGGAGCATTACAACCTGTTATCAGGCTACTCAGGTAATTTTGCAGTTATATCTTTGACGTACTTGTATGTATTTATCTCTTCTTTATAATTATGACATTAAATTTCTGGGCATTTCTATGTGGGTATTAGATATTTGTTTTTATTTGCTCGTTTGTCCTTGCAATGTTTAGAAATCCTTTTCCTTACTTCAAAATGACCTTGCAATCTGACATAACAGGAAATGTTTAGAAATCCTTGCAATTGTGGTCATTGCTGGGACTGTAATGAATTTCTTTTCAGATTTAATGGCAGATATTTTAATATATGTTGATACTGATGCATTTTAAACACTTCTTCTTTCTCATTTCTAAATACTGTTTATAACTGAGTAAATATTCTTGGTCAACAGTTCATGCTGCTCCGAGAGCCAGAGGGAAGCTGCTTTATTACTTGGACAATTTGCTGCAACCGATTCAGATTGCAAGGTCTTTCACAGAGCTATGTTCTTTTTTATTTGTTTTAAAATTTAGGAACATTCTTATCAGAAACTTGTCATATCTGCTTCATTTGTTCGTTACGAATTCTTACACCAGTACTAGTTTAGATTTGGAATTAGTTAGTTTCTCACTAGTGACTCAGGATGCAGATATTTTTGTTGGCAATCTGAGATATCTAGTAGAATATGGAATGAAATATTATCATTTATGGTTCTGTTGTTGTACCCCATTTTTCTGAAAGAGAACTAAAAGAGTTATTTAGAACAAAATTATTTAGCTTTGTTTATATACATTACTATGGCGTGAGTTTTGGGCTATTAACACTTAAGTCTCGTTATGTTTTGATGATTAAGGTGACTGGTTGAGGTATTAGAATGCTATGCTATCTGTGATACACTCATTTTTAATGCCTGAGAAAACTTTCTGATTAAAGCATCTTCATTATTGCCCTTACTAGAATGTACACATGCAGGGGTTTATTCCTTGCAACGAAATAATCATAGATATTTGTGCCAAAAAAAAAAAAAAACTTAGATATTTTGGTTCCTCAAAAAAAAAAAAAAAAAAAATAGTTATTGGAAAGTTTAGTGGAATAGGTAGTTGTTGGTATTTCTTATTTATATTATTTTTTTATTGAGTAGAATTAGAGGATTAAGAATTTGGAGAGGGGTTGTGGTTAAAATTTGCAAAATGACTCCTCAGTTATTATATAACATTGGTATGTTAAACCTCTCAATACTTAAGTTTCCCTGTTTATAAGAGCTCCCTGGCCAAATTAAGTACTAGATATTAGGTGTATAAATAGTTATAAATCTACACGCTTTCCCGAGTGTTTGAGACTATGATTCACGGACATGTCACTTTATCCAGCTGCATCTATGTTGACATGGCACGGCCTGGATGCTGAAATGGAACTTGATTTGGAACCTAGAGGATGAAAATGTTTGTGAGTCACTCTGCCATTGCTTGCAAGTCTGACACAAGCTGTCGAAGGTCTTGTTTTACTCTACCCTCTTCACTTGATCTTCTCCCTCCAATGCTTCGTTCTTCCCCTTCTTTTCAGTTCTTTTTTCCTCATATTCCTTTTCTTCTATTTTTCCTATTTGCTTTCTTTTTTATTCCGTCCTCCTTATTGGAAAAAGAGAGCGGATGTTGGGATTTGCTACTTGAGCTGATGGGAGAGCTGCAGAATATTCATAGCTCTTCAGTGATGAAAACTGGGGAGCTCGAAATGGTCTATATGGTTGATGCGGCTTGGTATTTAATGTAGGAAGGAGTATGATGGAGAGAGGTAGTGCTAAATACTATGTAGGATGGATCAGTAGGTGCTAGGGTCTTGTGGTTGACAAGTGGCTTATATTCTGTCTCGTCAATTCTGCTATCTCCTCTTCCCTTATTTTTTCACAGAATGAGAGAGCATGCTTTGATCATCAGACTTGAAATACGGATATGGGTCCTAGAGTCTGCTATAGGAAATTCTTAATTTCAAAAATGGGACACGGTTTTAAACAAATATAGTTATGGTCATGACATTTGGATCAGGACTTACATTTGCTATACATGTATAAATGACTGGATACAATTTTTAAGTTTCTATTTTTTGGCCAATATTGAAGTGTCGAAGTGTCCGCTTTTGTATGAAGTGGCAAGTATTTGACATAAATATTTGAAGTCAAATGAAGAGTAAGCATCATAGGGAGATTGTACTCTGTCGAGGAATGGGTTTTGGGAGCAAGCATTGAGGGCATGGTGCTACATCTTAGTGTGGTTGAGTTAAAGAGTTTTGGGTATAGGCGGGAGAAAATCAGATGGTCTGAGAGTATAGACTGTTGAGTGTTAGAAGGCTAGGATTTGAATGGAGGTCTGGAGATGGCTTCTAGATAGTCATTTGCTTCTCTCCTTTTGGATTTCTTCTCCTTTGTTAGGATGGAATTGGGGTAGGGTTGATGGTGATGAGGAGCCTATAAAATATTCTGATTTTCAAAAGCTTGTTAGAGCAACTCCAATAGTGAGATAGTAGCTTGCCTAATCACATCCTATTTACAAGTTACAGCATTTTGAAGCCAAATGGTAGTCTACAATGCCTTGTAGCTTCCATGTGTTATTTTATTTCCTATTCTTTTTTGGCTTTGTTTAGCTAATACATTGTCCTTTCCTATAGTAAGCTTGTAGCTACACTTTTCACATAAATTGCAAGCAGGACTTTTACTCCATGATTCGAGTTACTCTTAGAAATTAACAGCTTCTTGCACTTGTGCAATAGTTGTGATGCAGTTTGTAATTTGTGGGCCTTCATTGGTATATTCCTGATTTAAATGTAGTTGAGTGTTGATGAGGTTTTATATAAATCTATCAATCTATCTGTTATACCATTCTCTGATGTAAGCATTGAAATAGTTATTTTCTCACTAATTTCCTTCTTCTTGCATCGAATTTATCATAAATAATATTAGCTATGTTTGAACTTGATAAACTTCCTTATTTTTGTTTCTAGATTCACATTGTTCAGAGAGGTGCTGTTCCACCGTTAATTGAAATGCTTCAATCCCCTGATTTACAGCTGAGGGAAATGTCAGCCTTTGCTTTAGGGAGGCTAGCACAGGTTAATATTTACATGGTGTATACTTTGAATGAATCTTTATGTGCGGACGTGTCAGTTAATCATGCTTGAATTAAATCTCTGCTTTTTTATTTATTTATTATTTTTTTTTTATTGTTGTACATTTAGAATTATATCTTATAGTATTGCAAGTGATTGATAGATGCTATAGATGCTAGGATTAATTTGTATGGATGGGAAGTGCTTGTTTTCAAGTTAAATATATTTTAAGGATATGTGGAACAAGAATGTAAACGTTGGCATACAAATGATGTCTTATAAGTGCTCATTACCTTTTCTTCCCTTTGTTATTTGGGGATGGGGGTCGAGTATTGCAATAAGAAGAGTTTTACTCAAGTACTTTGTGTCTCTGAGGCCTGTGCCCATAGTGGCCACATGTGAATTGGACTAGTGTAGACTACTGTGATATATGAAGCTGGAAAAGTTGTTTAAAGCATGTAGCTAGTTGCTTGTCTGAGCTAGGTGTATGCTTCCCAACTTAGCTATTATGCTGGTTTGACATCTTATTAAAAAAGTATCTAGTTTGACCTTGTAAGCTCACCATCGCCGTTATACTATATAAAAAATTGCGTACATACTGCGTATTACCACTTTCATCTATGATAAACTGTTATTGTATTGTGAATGCATTTGAATTTCTTGGCACAAGGTATAAAATAAAATAAAGCACACATGCGTACGTGAATCTTTCATCTGGGGAATGCTTTGGTATATCATAATATGATGGATGTTTCTAATGTAAATTGATGTTTGGTCATGGACTTTCAAGTTACGCAGAATATGTTGCCTTCTTGATTCCATTAGAAATGGAAACAATGAAGGCATTTTGTTATTTTTAGAAGGATTTAGAATTTATTAGTTTACTAGAGAGCCTAATCGACGATTGGATTCTGGAAGAAAACTATTATTGCTATTCTTTGCTTAGCACTTTAGTTACTCTTACTATAACGCATACATATTTATGTTACTAATTTTAATACGATGTTGGTCTTTAGGGGCTGATATTCTTGAATGAATCTCTTTTGGGATAGGATGTCAGGTATATAGGAAGATAGATAATTGATTTTTTTTTTTATTTTTTTTTATTTTTTTTTTGAGTTAGGATGGGGGGTTTATAGGACTCTCATTTAGCCTTGTATTTCTGCCACTGTGTTTTCTCTCGCTCCCTTTTAGGGTCATATTGGTGTGTGTAACAAGGACATTGAAGAAGCTAATGACATATTTTTGTGGTCTAAGGTAGGTAAAGAGAAGACTTGTTGATTATATGTGTTTGTATATCTAAGGAAGAGGGAGGCCTGGTTTTTGGTAGTATGGCATCTAAAGTCTTCTTCTTGGTCAGAGAATTGTTGTGGCATTTACTGCAATGGTTTCGTGTAGCATAGTGTGATACAGAGGTATGGTTTTCAAAGGATTGGCAGGGATGTGCTAATTCCCTATGCAATCCCTTGGAATTATGTTTCATAGGTTTTGTAATTCTTCTTCCTTTAGGGTCAAGTACAAGGTGGGGTAGGGAGTGCATTGTATTTGGAGGAGCCTTTTAGTATCCATTCTCTTTCTCTCTAAAGATTGTGAGCTGCCTATTATAATACTCCAATTTCATTGTTTTGGGTGAACAAGGTACTAACATGTCTTAGAATTTTCATTGTTTGGAGGGACATTCATGATTGGGAGTTTGGGAAGCTTACTAACCTGTTGAGCTGGCTTGATTCTGTTTCTTTGTCGAAATTCCATGATTGAAGAGTGTGGTTGGCTGATTCCTCAGGGTCCTTTACTTGTCGTATCTTTTGTAGCAACCAAAAAAGCTCCAATTTCACAATTATTTCCTCTTTTCACCTTTCTATTTTGAAGGCCAAATTTTCAAATTAGGTGAAAGCTTTTGTTTGGGTTGCTAGTTTGGAGAAATTGAACACTTGAAATAATTTGCAGAGTTGGAGACCACACTTAGCTATGCCTGCTCACCCTGTGGCCTGTGTACTGTATTCCTTTCTAGGGAGGAGATAGTAAATTATTTATTGATGCATTCTCAGGTGGCAATGATTTCCTGGCAGAAACTATCAGTTAAGTAAGCCTTTGTTATAACGCTCCATTCACGGTTTTGGGTCATTGCACTTCTAATATATGAAGTTTGGAAGGTGCAAGGGGCAAAAATTTTTGGCTGGCCGTCTTCTTTGCTAATAATTGGGTTCTTTGGTTGGAAAGGAATGACAGTTTTTCTTTTTTTTTGTGGTTGGCAGTTTTCTATGGTGTCTATATGGAACTGAATTTCTGATTCAATGAGAGATTGGATTTTCTTTTTTTCCTTTTTTTTTTTTTTTCGTTGATGTTAATAGATTTTTTTATCCTCTTTGGCTCTTTTTTTTTTCACAATTCTTTTATCAACTTTGATGGATTTTTGTTTAAGAATAAGCCTATCTGTGGTATAACAGTAAGGAACCCATGCATGCTGACACTTCAGTTTATAATACATCATAACCTTGCCAGTTGCTATTATTCCCTCGACCTATCATGTAACGATTCATACAATATCAGAAAAACATCACAGATCACACTACCACCCATTTATGACATCTATTACTCTATACTAAAGCATAATCTTTTTTGGAGGGAATCTTCCCTCCTAAACTCTGCTTTATTTTATTTTATTTTTTTAGATTCTTACATAATTATTAATTTTCCTAGAAGCATTATTATCTAATTATATATTGTTATGCACATTTTTTACACACTTCAAATTAATTAATTAACAAACTTCATTATTTATTTATTTATGGGTTGACTATTGATTTACTTATATAGAGACTTCTATATTTCAATTACTATTCCGTATTAATTTAAAAAACCGAGCATGGCTCAGGCATTATCTAGTTTAATTAATGGCGAAAACTGTTCTACTCAGAAACCTTTTTGCCGAGTACTCTAGCTCTGCAATCATATAAGATTTATTCTCTCCTTTTTTTTTTTTTTTTAGTTCTAATTTTATTTGTAACTCTTTCTCTGGGCCATCTAGTGAGACATTCTTTGAATTTTATTTAGGAGTCAAATAATCAAGCCGGGATTTCTCACAGTGGTGGTTTAGTGCCCCTATTAAAGCTTCTGGATGCAAAAAATGGATCTCTTCAACATAATGCTGCTTTTGCCCTCTATGGTCTTGCAGATAACGAGGTATCTTCATCTATAATTTTGGATGCTCTGAGTTAAATCAATTGGAACTTATTGGTTTCTTGATTTTAACTTTCTTATCGGTTTAATATCACACCCGTGTTACTGAAATTTCCAGGATAATGTTGCTGATTTTGTAAAAGTTGGTGGTCTTCAAAAGTTGCAGGAAGGAGAGTTTATTGTTCAGGTTTGTTTTTTGCTGTAGTATATGACACTGCTTTCTGCTCTGTTGTATTTGCTATAGCTTACGGAAGGACTTAAGCAATAGGGTATTTGTGGGAGCTGTAACTATTCCCGTTTATTCTTGTATTGATGAATCTTTTATAAATGTTTTATGCCAAACATGTGCTTTCAGGCAACCAAAGATTGTGTAGCCAAGACACTGAAACGATTAGAGGAGAAAATACATGGCCGGGTTAGTATTATGAAGTTCTATTGTTTATATATTCCTTTAGTCAATCGATTTTGAAAGTGCTTATAGTCCAGTTATGGTTTTAAAGGTATTGACCCACTTATTGTACCTCATGCGCGTGGGAGAAAAATCTGTTCAAAGACAAGTAGCTTTGGCTCTTGCTCATCTGTGTTCTCCGGAAGACCAGAGATCAATCTTTATTGATAACAATGGTATGGCTTTTTCCATAGCTGTATGGTCTTAAATTATTCCTATTCAATTGACATTCATATTTTGCCGTCATTGACATAATGTTATTTTGCTAGGACTGGAACTACTTCTCGGGCTTCTCAAATCCACTAATACTAAGCAACAACATGATGGTGCTGTGGCCCTTTGTAAATTAGCAAGCAAAGCTATGACTCTTTCCCCCATTGATGCAGCTCCTCCTTCTCCCATATCACAGGTGACTTCCCCTTTATTCGATGCTCTATGTTTTGTGCTAAGTGATGATTGTACAATGGTATTTTCTTTGCTTAGATAATTTTCTTAGCTCTTTTAGTCAACTATTGTACGAGGACAGAACCCATTGAAGATTTTGCTGCTAATGCTGTTCTGTCATTGTTTCTTTTGTTTTAAACTCCATTGAAGATTCAAGCTCAGAGCACTCACAACCATGAGCAAAATATATGCTCATGGGCATTTCTTGTGAGCAAATATTTTGCTCATCACCCACAATGGTGAGCTAAACCAAAAATGCAAGAAAAAGCCCATGGGCAAAAATGAAAATGTCCATAGCATGGGCATTTCTTCTGATGAACAGTGATCTCGGTGGGGCCCACAAGCTGGAGGATAGCTGGAAAAAAAAAATACGGGTACTGTTCATGCCAGGCTGCCAGCGAGTAGGAGCGCGACACGTGGCATGTTCAGGGTGTTGGCCAATGACAAAATTAGCCGTTTTACAACGGTTATAATCTTCCCATTGCATTTTCTGAAAAATATTTTCAGTAAAAAAAAAAAAAAAAAATTACCAACGGTCATAAAATTAAATTCTCTATAAATAGACATGCATTTTGATATATTTTTATATATTTTCGAAATCACTTAAAATCCTCCACTTTTTTATTTTCTTAAGCATTTTAAATTTGTTGAAGAGCATTTTTGTTGCAACACACCCATATTGAGGTAAATTTTTTTTTTTTTTTATTATTTAAATAAAGTTATGTAATAAAATTAATATATATGTGATTTTTTGAAAAAAAAAATATTATGTAATTGCATTATGTAATTGAAAAAAAAATATATGTTGTTTAATTGCATTATGTAATTGAAGAAAGTTGTTGATATGTTCTCCATACATTACTAAATTTGTAGTAAAAAAAGTGTTGCATTTATTGGTTACTTTTTTTTTTTTTTTGTAATATTAAGTTATGTATTAAAATTAGTATATGTGTGTTTTTTTGAAAAAAAAAATATTATATGCCATGTTTACTTAATTGAAAAACCCAATTGAAGAAATTTGTTGATATTTTCTCCATACATTACTAAATTTGTAGTAAAAAAAGTGTTGCATTTATTTGATATATTTGCTTTTTTTTCTAATATATAAATTTAGTTATGTATTAAAATTATTATATGTGTGTTTTTTTGAAAAAAAAAAAATATAAAACCATGTTGTTTAATTGCATTATGTAATTGAAGAAAGTTGTTGATATTTTCTCCATACATTACTAAATTTGTAGTTGCAAAAGTGTTGCATTTATTGGTTACTTTTTTTTTTTCTAATATATAAATTTAGTTATGTATTAAAATTAGTATATGTGTGTTTTCTCCATACATTACTAAATTCAAACATTACTAAATTCGTAGTTAATAAAGTCTTCCAATTATTGGTTAATTTTTTTTTTAATATATAAATTTAGTTATGTATTAAAATTAGTATATATGTGATTATGTGAAAAAAAAAAATTATCTTTTGTAAAAAATTAGTAAATTTTAGTACAAATATTTATCTTTTGTTTTGTGATGCAGAATCTTTTAATGGATCCAAACAACCCAAATTTCCGCCAACAATTTTCTGGTTTTAGTGATGATTTGCTAACTAATCCCGAGTTTCAATTGTTCTTGCAAAGAATGGGCAATACGTCTTTGCAACCATCTCCACAGTATCAGACACCCACTCAGTTTCCCCTACGAAACCATGTTATTGAAGAATGTACACCTGAAACTGTACATGATAGCAACACACAATTCAATGAGAGCGAAGAGGACAGCGTACCAGAGACGCCGCAATATCCTCCACCAGTTCCCGAACTGAAATCCAACCAGGTTGTTGCACGAGCGACTCGAATTTGGTCAGTTGCGGAAGATGAAACTCTGATTGGGTTGTACTTGGAGATCAGTGAGAATGCTATTAAAGGCACGAGCCAGAAAGCAACTTCCCTTTGGCGCGATGTACACGCAGCATATCAACTTGCTCATGCGGAGAAGCCGCATATACTTCCACCAAGACCTATGAAGAGTCTGACGTCGCACTGGAGAAGGTTGGCAGCAGACACACTACAGTGGATATCTTGCTATGATGAAGCAGGTAGACTTCCGGAGGGAGGGAGTGGTTACAACGAAGCTGACCGTATAAAAAGTGCGTCGAAGCTTTTCCATCTCGCCCAAGGTCGTAATTTCGCTTTTCCTCACGCTGTTGAAATGCTTAATAGAGATCCAAAGTGGAGGCCAAAGCTGAGATGGTCCTTGTCAAAGGAGGAAAGAAAAGCTGTTCGTGATGTTGAGGAGCAAGGTAGTGCTGGAAGTGGGAAGAGGTCCAGAGATGATGGAGGGGATGAAACCCCTACGGATGGTTTTTCATCTGGAGGAATACAACGACCCGAAGGTGTGAAGAAAGCAAAGGCCAAGCGTAAAGGGAAAGAAGTAGCTTCGGACAGTGGTTCGTCTGAGCTTAGCGAACGAATGAAGGAATTGGCAACAATTCGCGAGAGGGAGGCCATTCTGAAGGAAGAGCGGATCAAAATTGAAAGGGAGAAGGAACAGAGGAAAAGGGAGGAACTTGACATTCATAAGATGAAAACCTGGTTTGATATGGTGCAAGCTATGAAGAATTCGCCTACTCCACTCACTCCTGAAGAAGAGTCGTACAAGAATTTCTTACTGGGTAAATTACAGGGCTTATAAGCATGTTTGGTTGTAGTAGGTGTACGCTTGTATTAGTTAAGTTTTTAATTATGCGCAATGTAGTCTTTTATGTTTAACATGTATTAGTGGTGTGTTTAATTTCACTGTCATATGTAAACTTGTATTCTGATTTTCCAATATTGAATGACAAGTTGTTTAACAAGTTGATTTCAGTTGTCATTGTTACCGACATAGTTGCATTCAATTGTTGTCATTGGGTAGTCACTTTTTTTCTGATTTCACTTTAACTTTGGGTCATTCATGGCAACAAAATTGCAATAACTCTTTATCATTCAGTAGTCACATTTTTGTCATTGTGTAGTCACATGTTTCTGAATTAACTTTGTCAGTATGCTTTAACTTTAGGTCATTCATACCGACATGGTGTAGTCACTTTTGTTCTGAATACACTTTGTCAAGATTTGTCATTGTCAACTAGCATAGTATACCTATTCCGTGGCTGAAAATTTGAATGCTTTAGTTGGTGTGGTCATTCAGATTTGTAACCACATATTCATTTGATTTATTTGCTATATATAGTAGGCATGGCACATATCCACAACCACACCAATTAAGAAAATTATAATATTAATACATGATGTATTCCAGACCATCATCAAGTTCAAGTTCAAGTTCATCTTCTTCCAATAATGAAGAATATGATCAACTCGTTGATGAACTCTTCACATACCAACCCACATCTTTCCTCATGCCCCAAACACAATCCCAACGTACTTCAAAATCACGTAGAGGGGGTACGAACAGAAGAGATTGGGAAATGGGACATGCCAGGCTGTTCAATGATTATTTTTCCGATAATCCTGTGTACAATACCACCCAATTTAGAAGAAGATTTCGTATGCAACGACCTTTGTTTTTACGTATAATGAACAAGGTCGTTGAAGGTGATGTTTACTTCCAGCAGCGTAGGGATGCAACTGGAAAGTTAGGCATATCACCTCTGCAAAAATGTACAGCCGCGATACGAATGTTAGCCTATGGCATGGCTGCAGACGCTGTTGATGAATACGTTCGAATCAGTCAGTCAACCGCTCGAGTTGCCCTACAACGTTTTTGTGCCGGGGTCATTGACCAGTTCGGAACCGAGTACATGCGAAACCCTACAACTGATGAATTGGCCCGGATACTGCATCAAAATGAACTGCGTGGTTTTCCAGGCATGATAGGCAGCATTGATTGCATGCATTGGGAATGGAAGAACTGTCCAACGGCTTGGAAAGCGCAGTACGCCGGTAGGAACAAGAAAGCAACGCTAATACTGGAAGCCGTTGCGGATCAGGATTTATGGATATGGCATTCCTTCTTTGGTATTCCCGGATCTTGTAATGATCTTAATGTGTTGTACCGTTCACCAGTGTTCGATGAGGTTCTGCATGGTTGAGCTCCTCCGGTAAATTTTACGGTTAACGGCCATGAATACAACATGGCTTATTATTTAGCCGACGGCATTTATCCGAAGTGGGCAACTTTTGTTCAGGGTATCACATTCCCTCAACTGGCCAAAGATAAAATGTTCGCTGACCACCAGGCTGCCGCTCGAAAGGACGTTGAAAGAGCTTTCGGTGTGTTGCAAGCTCGATTTGCAATAATACGAAAACCGTCGCTGGCGTACGATGAGGACATACTGCGGGACATAATGAAACATGTATCATTATGCACAACATGATTGTTGAAGATGAGCGCCACAACTACACTCGAGCCGAAGTTCTAAGAGCCTTCTACGAAGAAGATCAACAAGAATCAACATCTACAACGCCACCGTTTGAATTCAACGTAGGCCGACCTACCAACTTTGATTTCAACGCATTTCTACAGCGAAAAGCTTCCCTCCGTGACAGAGAAATTCATCTATCTCTGAAACGTGATTTAGTCGAACATATTTGGCAACACTACGGGCCACGTAATTAGGGAGAAATTAGCACGACTTAAATAAAGCCAAGTACTATGGCGTAGCTACTTTTACTTGTTGTGTTTATTTTATTTCTAAGTTTAATTACGCATGACGTTGCAAATGTAATTGGTTTCTAGTATTGTACCGCTTTTAAAATAAATAAAAACATTTAAGAAATTTTGAGCTTTTTTAAATTTTTTTTTTATATAACGTACTTAATTTTACGACAAATTTTAACGATAAAAAGGACAAAAATAAAAAAAATAAGTTACACAAATTTTAACTAGTTTTTATTTATTTGGAGTAACATTGTTAAAATATAAATGAAATAAATAAATAAAGAAGTGTTGTGTAGGAGAGAGAAAGTAATGGTGGGGTATTGAAAAAGTAAGAGAGAGAGAGTGGTGGGTGGGCAATTTTTTTGCTCACCATTGGGAGAGAATATGTGAAAAAATTTGCCCATGAGCAAAACTTATTTCTTGAGAGAGAAAGTGGGTAGAGAGAGAGTGGGTGAGCATTTTTTTTGCTCACCATTGAGAGTGGTCTCATATTCAATGAAAATATCTACAACTAGAACTTTTTTCAAAAAAAAAATCTATAAGTAGAATGAAATACATCAAACTTTCTAAGATTAGACTTATTTAGGTTGAATTCATGTTCTTAGTTATTTTGATTTTGTGTTCTATAAATAGTACTCCCCCGTTCCTTTTTAAAGGTTACATTTGGGTTTTCTCATGGGTATTAGGAAAAATGCTTTGGGAGTAGGTAAAATGGGAATATTTGTTTTGGGAGTAGATTAATTATTTTGGTAAATGGGAATATTTGCTTTGGGAGTAGGTAAATATTTTGGTAAATAGGAATTTTTGCTTTAGGAGTAGGTAAATATTTTGGTAAATGGGAATAGTTGCATGGAAGTAGGTTAGTACAATATGAGGGTATGTGTGTAAAAATATTATTGGAATTAGAAAAGTAACCAAAAAAAAGGAAACACCCAAAATAGAAACGTACCATAGAAAAGGAACGGAGGGAGTATTATATTGTTCTAGATAGTTTTATGTTCTACATCTTAAATTTTATTGTTTAGAAAGAAAAAGGAAGATACCCATCTTTGCAATAATGATCAACATTAACAAGAATGATTCATATACTTCTAAAATTAATATTATGAGAAACAAATACTTCGTATAAAGTTTTTAAAACAGAAAACACACTCAGCTCACCTTAAGACTTGCAATAAACTTTTGATACATTCTAAGTAATTTTGAGTACATGTTCGATAATATAAGTTTGTGGTAAAAATTGCTGCATATGTTCATAAACTTTATTTTAAAGTTATAAAGACTAAAAGGTTGATTACATTTATAAATACAACATACAAGAAGTTCATAAAATATTACTCCAGTGTTTTGAAATTAGGGAAAAGGCTAAAATTTAGAACACTCTTATTTCTTAAGGCGTGTTTTAGATTACTCTAGACTTTATTATTAGAATTTTGACTTCAAGTTCTAATTATCAAAGCATGTTGCTCTAAAAAATGTTTCATGTGTTCTAAATACTTGATGGTAGTTTTTTTTTGAAAATTAGGTGATGTCGATGTTAAATGCTGTGTGTCCTATATGAAGTTCTTGAAATTCTTATTACTTTGCAGTTGGGGGTTCTCATAAATAGCATTTGATTTTGCAGGTTTACTTAGGCGAGCAGTATGTAAATAATGCGACACTCTCAGATGTTACTTTTCTAGTTCAAGGTTCAAAGTGCATCTATCTTGCTTGTTTATAATATTTATTATTTGTTTGTTCTGAGATTAATTTTCTGAACACAATTGCACAAGTTCTAAATAGCATTACCTCAAATTTCAGGCAAACGGTTCTTTGCTCATCGAATCTGCCTTCTTGCTTCATCTGATGCATTCTGTGCAATGTTTGATGGTGGTTATCGGGTGAGTTTTACTTGTTTAGTTAGATGAGTTAGGCCTTTTGCCTCCTCTTATTTGCTTAGTTCGCTTATGTATAGTTATGAGCTATATGTTTGTTTAAGAGAAATACCAATTTTTTATTGTTATCTATAATGGAGGGTGTTTAAGGAAGACCATATAATATGCTGTGTGCAGACCATAATAATCTAATGTGAAAGACAAAATACTATAGTGGGGGATGGATGGAGAGGGTGCAATTTGGGCTTAAAGAAGAAATAATTTCTAGGAACACAAGCTTGCTCAAATTACTAGGAACATGGCACAGGACGGTCTTCTCAACTAGTCCTGAAGATAACTAGCCTCATTCATCATGTGTTCTAGCAAGAAACATTAGCTTCTATGTTTTTTCCCCCCTTATTTTTAAAGCTGTGGAACTATGGTATTTTTATATAGAACAGACTGCTGTGCACTCATTTATATGCATGGAAATTTTCTAATAAGACTTATGCTGTTATCACTGTGATACAGGAAAAGGATGCCAGAGATATACAGATTCCTAACATCAGATTGGAGATTTTTGAGTTGATGATGAGGTTATTTAAATATGCATTCGTGTAGCAATTTCTGTTGAAGATTTGTAAACTTAGCAATAGAATTCATGTGTCTTTCTATTTCTGTCATTTTGTTGCAGATTTATATATACTGGATCACTAGACATAAAACCAGACATTGCAAAAGATCTCCTTAGGGCTGCAGATCAGTATCTTTTAGAGGGGTTAAAACGCCTTTGTGAATATACCATAGCTCAGGTGAGCTGACATGATTTATCATTCATTTCTTTGATATATTTTTCTAATATTGGATGATGACATATAATGAATTATTGGTTTTTGTAATATATGAAGGATATATCCTTGGAGAATGTGTCAAGCATGTACGAGCTTTCTGAGGCATTTCATGCTGTGTCATTGAGGCAGGCTAGCATCCTTTTCATCTTGGAGCAGTATGATAAATTGATTGATAGACCAGGGTATGTAGTTTCTCTAATATCTTTTGTTATCTTTACTAGCTGACTATTCCCTCTATCCCTAAATCCGAGCCCCATTTCTCCTGGGCACACAATAAAGGAGAGAGGTTGTAGTGGGTTATTGTTGATTTGTTAAATATAGTTGAATATAAAAAGAAGGTAATGTGAACAGTATATTATTTTTAGAGGAGGTAAGAGATCTTATATTTGGGGTAGAAGGGTTTTGTTGATTAAAAGTGAATCATTGATGAACCCTTCCCAAATGAGAATGGTTTTGTTGATTAAAAGTGAATCATTGATGAACCCTTCCCAAATGAGAATTGAGTCTCTACTTGGGGATGAGAATTTTGGGAGAGATGGGGCTTTTATCTATGGGCGGAGGAAGTTTTTTTTTCCTTCTGCGAGGTGAGAATTTAAAACAGGGTGTTTCAGGTATTCGGGTATAAATCTAAAACCTATTTAATTTTGTGCAGTTGAAATTACATGGTGAAGCTTGTTATGTTTATTATTATTTGCAAAATCTGCTTGTTAGGGTGATTATCAAATAGAGTATCATTTTTATGTGCATTTATGATTTACTTCGGGCTTGCACAAAAAAGATTGGAAACTTGATGATTTAATTTAAACATGTGACTTTTATTGAGAATAATAAGAAGTGCAAAGTCTGCATCCTTAGAAAGCTAAATTTTCAACATCATTGTCTAAACTTTGATTGGAAACTGAAGACGCTTGAAGTTTACTACTGAAAGGTTGAATGTCCAAAGCCATTAAGGGAGAATTGCCAAACTGATAAAGTAATAGTAGCCGCGTGCAAGTTAGCAAAATTCTAGATGTCTAACATGAGGTGAATGATATATCTGTTTTGTTTGTCTGGCAAGTACTACCAACATCAGAGACAAGGGGGTTACCGGGTTAGTTGTCATGTGAGTCTTCCAAGTAAAGGAGCTAATACTCCCTCCAACTCTAATAGATTGCCCAGTTCCCCTTTAACATTGTTAAAATTGTAATGAGTGGGTAGATAATTTTGTCCTTTTATATCTAAAATAAAAATGGGGGCAATCTTTTAGGGACAAACCAAAAAGGAAAATGGGGAAGGAGTATGTGCTTATGAAGTTATGATTGCTTCTGCTTCTTAGCAATTTTTTATTCTTTTCTCAAGTATATAATTGGTAACGATGCTTGAGTAAGTAATATGTAGAATACTTGACTGACCTCGCTGTGGAATTGTGCAGGCATTCATCTCTTATGCAGCATATTTTGCCAGAAATTAGAAACTATTTTCTCAGATTACTCACCAAACCCAGTGCTCTGAACTAGTGACTTAAAGCTACCAGTTTTTATTTTTTTATCCTCGATCTTAGAACTGGTCTGGTTGAAGCAGCAAATCACTGACAAGCAGACATGACTCAAAGGTCTCTTATGCCTTACATTTCTAAACTCCCAGCCTCCCACATATCTTTCGCTTGCTGCTTGATGAGTTTTAGCCACCTTGCCTTTTTTTTTTAATTAATCTTTAACACTGTATCCTCACGAAGGCAAATCTCTGAAGCAATAATGTATCAAGCATATGTGAAGTCTGATTTGGTTTCCGCAGGAGCAGATTTAGGATATAGTGTGCATGCCAACGCATCAGGCTCAAACCGACCTCACTGGGAAAGCGTTTAAACGTCCTTCAAAGCAACTAAGGTGACTACTGTTGAAACACTTGAAACAAATTATCAAAATTGAAAATGATGCTGTAAGAATTAGTGATGTTGACTAATTATAATTACCTAAAAAATGCGTCTGATTTACAGAGCATCTGGAAAGATTACATATTACTGTAAGCATAGAATCTTAGCCTGTCTATATTTTCTCCTTTCGCTTGTGTAATTGTAAGGGAATGTAATTATGTTGTTCATGACTTCATAAGCTGGTGATTTTAGGTGCTTGTGTAATTAGGATGTTGTAGCTGCTCTTATTTTAACTAGTTTCGTAATGAATGACGTGTCTATAACAAGCATTCATTCCACGTAATATAAAGATTTCGCAAATCGAGCAGGTCAGGTCGAGTCATGAACTCATGATCTTGGTTACAGGTTATTTTGAACCATACAAGTAGGTGTATCTAGTTGCTTCTACTCAGGTTAATCTGTCAATGAATGGTTTAACAGAATTGAGTCATTCGTCAGCTGGAATTTGGTTTTATACTTTTATCAACAATGTATTATTCTGAACTTTTTTTTTTTTTTTTTTTTCTTTTGTTTTTTTTTTCTCCTCCCGAGGGAAAACGATTGGATACTTAAGTGTGAAGTAAAACTTAATTGCAGGTCGACTATAGAGAACATGTCACTATATAGTTTATACAATTTCATTTCATACAACAGTTTTATTAATGGTACGATTTGGATTTAATTAATATTGGGAATTGGGAAAAGTAATTGATGGCTTAGATTTTCTCGTAGAATTTTAGTTTTTTGAATGAAACTTTAAAAGTCAAATTTGTGATCTTTCCACCAATCATTACGTGAAACGTAATATTATTTCAGGTCTGGTTTGAAATGGTCAATTTTGTGACTTTAACCTTCTACCATGTCTTATAAGTCCTGATAGACTGCACCTCTTTATCTTAGAATACTTATTGTTGATGCAAATCTCTCATTTTCTGAAGTTTCATCACTTCTCAAACACTGTACTCTTATTCATTTATGATGAACTCTACATCAGAAGAGGTAAAAGTAGAGCTTCCGGGGTTCGTCCGAGTCTATAAAGATGGCTCAGTTGAGAGGCTTTTTGGTTCACCACTAGGACCTCCCACTCTTGAAGACCCAAAAACCGGTGTCTCTTCAAAAGACGTCACAATCTCCAGTGACAAAAATCTTTCAGCTAGGCTTTATCTGCCCAAACTCGCCTCAAACAACCACCCCATCTTAGTTTACTTTCACGGTGGTGGCTTTTGTGTTGAATCTGCTTTCTCTCTTCCCCACCAGCGTTACATGAACATCCTTGCCTCACAAGGCGGAGTGGTGATTGTTTCAGTTGAGTATAGGCTTGCACCCGAGCACCCTCTTCCCACTGCCTATGAAGACTGTTGGACTTCCCTTAACTGGGTTGCGTCGCTTCAAGACCCGTGGTTGGCAAGCCATGGAAGTCTTGATGCACTCTTTATTGGGGGTGACAGTTCTGGAGCCAACATAGCCCACAACCTAGCCATGAGGGCAGGTACTGAGAGTTTAGACAATGGGGTTAAGATCCTAGGAGCATTTATATCGCATTCACACTTAATGGATGACCCAAGTTCGTCAAATTTGGATGTTCAGATGGGTTATAAAGTATGGAACTTTGTGTATCCTGATGCGCCTGGTGGTTCAAATAGCCATATGATTAATCCAATGGCTGATGGTGCTCCGAGCTTGGCGCAGCTTGGGTGCTCTAGGGTGCTTGTGATAGTTGCTGAAAAGGAAGGGCAGAGGGATACTGAGATTAGATACTATAACGCTGTCAGAAACAGTGGATTTCAAGGGAGTGTGGAGTTGTTTGAGACCAAAGGAGAAGGCCATTGCTTTCATATTTTTAGCCCGGATTCGGAGAATGCAAAGCTGCTGTTCCAACGCCTTACTTCTTTCCTTCATAAGTGATCATTGTAGTTGATGTGGATTTGAGTAGCTTTAGTCAAGACTCGATGTCGATATCATGGTTTGAGTTCAAAGAGTTGTACTATGGGATAGGTGTGTTCACATGCTATATTGATTATGCTATAGTTTTTTTACTTCTTTGATGCTTGTATTGTCAATATCGTGATTTTGATGTGAGGGTTTTATCGTAATGCTTGGCAGGCGAGAAAGCTACTAGAATAAGACATGAATTTTAATGTTTCACTATGAATCTTACATGATTTTTACTTTACGGATTGGATTTTATGAGGAGAGAGGGTTGGATTTAGGTGTTTGTTTTCCTAGGTGATTTAGGGGTGTTTGACAATTGGCTTTTTGCCTATCTTTTGGCTTTTGGCTTTTGTCTATTTGATTTGGTCAAACAGTCAAAAAATATGTTTAATAGTTGACTTTTTTGTTGGCTTTTAAACTGACTTTTTCACCAAAAGCCACAAGCTAATAGAAGTAGCTTTTTCTATTGGCTTTTGGCTTGTTGGCCACTTTATCACTAATAAACAGCTAACAACCATTGATAATTTTACCAAACACTTTTGTAAACAGCCGGCTTAAACAACTAACTTAAAAAGCCAATCCATACAGCTAATACTTCCACCTAGTCAAACAAAACAAGCCAACAACCAACCGCCGATTGTCAAATAACCCCTTAAAAATCTTCATTAGATTATGGTATGGTTTATTTTTTGTACATAAAGGGGTTTGAAGTGTTGTTTTATAAAAGTGTGATTGAGATTAATAAAACTTAAGAGTTTGTGATGAATCTTATGGGAGTATGTAAGATGGTTATTTGTCCAAACACACCAACCTAACACATCTAGTTTGTTGATTGTTTGATGTGTTTTATCAAAGAATATTTATAAAGTGTTAACGATCGGTACACATTAAAAAATTCCAAAATATTTTTTCATATTTTGTGAAACTTGATTGTTCTTACAAAATTATATCACAGATTATACTTATATATTACTAAAGAATCTCTTAAACACTAGTATTTATAATTTAGTTATAACTTTCATTTTAATTTCATGAAGGCAATTTTCAAAATGGTCCCCAATTTGAGACGCCTGTTCTCAAAAGCTGGTTGGGTGACCAAGGTATCGCACACCACTTTGCATCAGTCGGCCGTCCACAAGCAAACGGCCAAGTAGAAGCCTTTAATAAAATCATCTCAGACGGTCTCAAGAAAAAGATTGAACGAGCAGGCGGCCTATGGGCGGATGAACTACCACATGTTCTCTGGGCCATTAGGACGACTGAAAAAGGGGCGACTGGAGAGACTCCATTCCTCCTAACCTATGGTGCGGAAGCTGTTCTCCCAATCGAACACTACGAGCCGACTCTTCGAGTAATGTTATACGACGAAGAGGCGAACTGGGAATCCATGCGCCTGGCATTGGACTCACTCCCAGAAAGGAGGGGCAATGCCGTCTTGCGCCATGAAATTTACCGCCTGAGAATGATCAGATCATACAACAAAAAAGTACACAGACGTCCACTCAAAGTGGGGGACTTTGTACGAAGAAAAATGGAAGCAGTCGGTAGGGCTAATGAGTCTGGCAAATTAACTCCCAACTGGGAGGGACCCTACCGAATTTATGAAGAGGTCAGGGACGGTACCTACCATCTGGAAACACCAGACAGCCAACCGTTACCTCGAACTTGGAACGTAGATAATTTAAAGAAGTATTATTTTTGAATGATGTAAATAGTCGAGAGCTAATTAATGAAAGTTTGCTGTTTCATTCAATTTTGTACTAAGAGGGGCATGCCTACTGACAAACAGTCCGCTACTCTCCATGTTTTATTTTCATTCTTACTTAAGAGGGGCATGCCGCTTGTTCCACACAACCGGCTACTCTCCCATAACACAGTTCACCAAGAACTATCAAAGGATCATGGCCGAAATGATCAGACCAGGCGCCAGGCCAACTGATCCAAATATTAAATTAATTCGACCTGTCCCAACATTATAGCAGGCGTCTGGCAGCATCCATCCGGATGAAATTCGTCGCATAGAGCAGCTCCCTTTTGGGTGGAACATTGTTCTATAAAATCATTACACGACACCTATACGACTGTCTAACTAAGACAACCACGTAGCCGTTTCTCAGACAAGGATACCTCTCACTTAACCGACTAAACAGGTCAAACAAGTGTTTGCAGTACCCATCCGTGTCAATTAACCGACTAAACTACTTGGGATAAGAACAGTCGGTACCTTATGAGTTAATAGCCAACAAACATTGGCGAATAAAGGGGAACAACCGGTACCCACCGCTTGAAACCTCTACTACTTAGTCATTCGGCGACTAAGTAACAACCATGTCTACTTGGCCACTCCTTAAAACTTAGTATGAAACTAAAAAGGTGTTCACATAGCGCCTGTTCACACTAAGTTAAATATAGCAGGGACCAGCCGGCCTAGACCGCCTAGAGTCTCTGGCCTAAAAACATGTCAGGTAGGAAACCACCTTCCTACTTGGTTAATTTTACAAATGACAGGACCGCCTGCCTAAAGGGGATCTAGTCTTACTGGATAAATGGCCGACAGATCGCCAAGCCTGGAAACAGACAACCAGTCGTCCAGGGGCATAGGCGGCGTGACTACCTCTCACCTGTCTGCAACTATCGGCCATGCAAAACAGTCGGTATAGTATGCAATTGGATATCAGAGTTTCGATACTTAGCAAAATAAAAGCACAAATTCGAAACATTTTGGCAAAAAGGCGACCTAAAAATGGTCGCCTAAGTTATATTAACAACCGGCCATAAAGACCGGCATAAACATTCAAAACCCTGACCCCTTGGCCGGGTAAAAGATACAAAATAAGCCGGCCATTAAGACCGGCAAAATATTCAGAGCCCCGGCCCCCTGGCCGGGTAAACAGAAATAAACGGCACGCAGGCCGTAGAAAGAAGACAAAAAGCTTAAGAAGGGGGCAGGTCTTCAACAATAGCGGCTGTCGCCTGGTCAGCATTCTTCTTGCTTGACTCGGCCTCAGCTGCATCCTTTTTCGACGCACCTACCCCAATCGGCACTAGGGCCACTACCGGCTCCTCCACTTCCAATGCCTCGTCCTCAGCAGCCGCCAGGATCTCTTGATTATATCTTTCAGAACACTGGCGGTACGTTTTTTCCCATGACGAAAAGTCGGCATTAGGGAAGAGGCAGCTCCAGGTCAGGTGCTGGATTTGAGCCGAGTCTTCCATCATCTCTCGGACCAACTCCTTCTTTTCCTGCTCGGCCTGTGCCGAGAGCTCCTTAGTGAGGCTCTTCTCCTGAGTCGCCAGGCGCTCCTTAACGCTCTTCAAGGATTTCTCCAAGGTGTCGTATGAGCTCATTTTTGGCGAAGAGGCCTCAGCTCGGTCTTGAGGTTGGTGATGGTCGTCTCCAGCTCATTGTTCCTCTTCTGGGCCGCTTCCAACTGAGTCCAGATAGCAGAATTAGCCTGCGCCTGATAATAAAGAATATCAGTTGTCAAAATCTCATTTTGGGCAATTTGAAACATTGCCTTATCACAGTCAGAGGCGGCCATAGCTTTAGCAGCCTTTACCTCTTTGTTCTTCCTATCAAGCGGCTTGCGAACGCCGTTCACTCGGAGCAGGGCCTAAGTAAAAGGGAACAGGCGTTAGTATCAAACAAAAAACAGGCGTCATGGAATTTAAATGACAAAAATATGCTAAGTATACCTCAGCCAGGACCCCTGTGATACCGTCTAGGTCAAGGGTGCCGACACCCTTGACCGCCTCTCTCTCAGCCGGAGGGACGACTTTGATCATAGACTTGGCCACCTCGACCAAGTCCGGTTCCTGAGGGCCGGCTGCATCAAGCATAAACAAACGCGTTAGACCTAGTAAAGAAGGAAGCATGTCTAAATTCACAAGGACAGTTCCATACTTCTAGGCGGCCTGCTTAGAGTTTGAGAAGGAGTGGACGGCTGTTTCTCAGCCGCCGCATGTTTCCTGGAAGTACCAGGAGAGCTCGCAACAGTCGTCCTCCGGGTCTTGGAGTCCGGCTGTTGGGAAGAAGAGGTTCTTGGAGTGCCCGTCTAAAAAAAAAAAAAAAAAAACACACACACACAACAAAACACACGGTCAGTATCTGCATAAACTCTAACTTCAAAAAGGAGGGAGAGGCTTGGAACTTACCAAGGGCGCCTCCTTGTTGGGGGAGTCGGCAGAGGACTGTTGCATGATGGAAGCACGTAACATAGCAGCCGCAGTCTTTGAGGCGGTAATTTTGCTCATGGCGTCCTCTGCAAGAACAAATACCAAGGTTAATAACAGTAATAACAGTAATGCATGGCAAAAGAGAGTATTCGAAAGGCCGACTACCTCTTGAGCACCGACTGCTGAGGCCACAGGCGGCCAAAAAGTACTCGTCATAGAGCCATTTAAAGCTCGGGACGCAGTGCAGGGGCACTTGCTCTCGCACCCCTGTAGTAGAGTCGACCCTCGACTCTACTTTGAAGAGTCCTTTGTCCAGGATCTCTTTCTTAGCGTTTGGAGGAACAGGCGGCATGCTTCGGCCGCCTGCAAGAAGAGGTGGATCCCTGTTCCACCTGTTGAAGCGCTTGTTCAGCTCTGTGTCTGAACTTTCAATTATAAGGAAGGTGCTTCGCCAATCCTTCCATTTATTTTCTTTACCTCTTGTCATGAGGTAGCCTCGGTGGCTCGTCAATTGGTACCAGCCGGTACCGCCTGCCGTAGGGGTCCGGCTGAGATAGTTTATATGGGCGAAAGCCTCGAAGTTTGGCTCCACCCCGTGCAGTTCGCACCCGGCCACATAGCCGAGAACGTTGAACCAGGAGTTTGGGGCTAACTGCCATAACCCCAACTCATATCCATCCAAGATCCGCTGTACAGCCGGATGTAGTGGGAAGCGCAGCCCAGCCTTGATGGCCGCCTCGTAACAACCAAAGCAGGCGCTATCATAGCTAGTACCAGCCGGCCAGACAACCGTGTCTTCTGGATCCGGCACAAAAACTAAAAAGCCGGGGCCCATTGTGTGGTTCGCAACAAAGCTCCCCACTTTCTCTTGCATGGCCTTGATCCGGCCCTGTGGGACAGTGCAGTAGTAAGGGGTATTTTGCTCCCTGTAAGAGGCGGACGGCTCCGCCCAATTGTCCCCCTTCTCAACTGCGTGAGAAAGCCTCGCCTCTCTTAGGCGATTGTTTTTCTCTTCTGTGTTTAGAGAAGCATGACCAGAAGAACTAGACTCGGACTCGTCCTTTGACGAATCCTCTTCCCCTCTCCCAGAGGGACCCGCCTCCTCTCCTTCAATGGGAGTAGGAGAGAAGGTAGACATGTCAACTGTAAAATGGGAAGGGACCACCTTGACCCCTCCCTCAGAACTATCGGCGGTCAAGCCGCCTTGGTTCACTT